ATTTTAAAAATTTACACTTAAATTATTTTGTTCTTAAATAAATTTAGATTTGTATTTATTTATTCTTAAAAATTAGTTATAGTCAATAGGAAATCATTTTTTTCCATGCTTCATACTTGGTATTTGTATTGTACTTTAATATTATAACGTAGAAATTTGACCTTTTTTTCTTGAGACGATACTTTCATATCGTGGTACAGGATTCACATCCTTGTGGAAATGTATTTGTGTAAAAAGGTTAGTTACGCTAGGATTGTCCTTCACCTCAACTCCTTTCTATTTTACACGATTATTATAATTATACAGATAATACGTGTAAAATTTAACTCTCGACATGCCAATTTTCTATTATTATAAAATTTATAATTGAAACGTTTTGTGGATAATTTTTTCACCGGTTTACCCATTTAATCGTACGGTTATAAATATTTAGGTATAGAAATTTAAATATTACATTTACATAAATGCCACAAATATTTTGCTGATATTTGTTGTAAAGAACTTACCTAAGACGTATAAAAAGAAAAAATATTTTTTATGGAAAACCCGTAAACTTACACGATTTTACGACTACCTATATGACTTAAGAAAACTCTATAATATGTGAATAATTAGAAAGTGAATAGGTTAGTTTTTTGTGCACAAGAATTACTTCGGCTTATCCCTTAAAATTTTTTTAAAAAAATGACCTTTAATTGTGTAATTTATAGATAAGCAGAAGATAGAAGAAATGTGTTTCACTAAAGTTATAATATATACAATATTCACATCAAAATATCATCATATGCATACTAGGTATTCTCGAAATAATCTCTCACAATTGTTATGTTTTTGTTGGATATTATATGTTATGCATAAAGTAAAATTCCTCGTAAATTAAGACATTATTTGAATTATTATTATCATATGAATATTTATAATGCATCCCTTATTAAGACAACTTTGAGTTATATCATAAGTGACCTTTAAATTAAATTATAAGAGAACTCGTGGAATAAATAAATCGAAAATATTCCTTACTGATTCGTGAGAAAATCTTAGTAGTTATATATACTGTTTCAAGAACTGAATTTAATGTTTTCGGAAAATGTTATACTACATATTATTACATAGTAGGTATAGGCGAGAATACTCACTCGAGTCGCAATACAGTTTTGTAATGCAGATCTTACGAGTATAAATATAATAACTAAAAATATTTTGATATCGTTTAAGTTTTGATTGAGTTGTAAAAGATTATGGACGGTCATACTGACTACCATAATACAGTAAGTATGTAGCTGGTCAGTTATACAGGAACACCAACGTATATGCTCAAAAAGTTGATACTTTAACACCAGCGTTTTAGATTTAGATTGTTGTAATAATACTTGTACATAACGGTTTTGAGTGATAGTTTAGAATTTTTGCCAACAAATTTGATCGTTTTTCAAAAAATTTGAGTGACTTTTGGTGATAATAAAATCGATTTTAGAACCGAAATATTTTAAACTGTTGGAACCGAAATCGAAAACGAAAACTTTACATTGATAAATTAAGTATTTAGACCGAATCAGAATTTTTAAATTATAAACGTTCTTTTAGATTCTAAAATTAAATGGTCTTATTTAGCATAATTTATTAGTTATTACTAATTTGTTTATAAATAATCAGGGATCCATTTTCATAATAAATAAATATTATTATGGACTACGAAAATTCACATTCTGGATCGGTGTCTATTTAAAATTATTATACATTTGATGTGTTTATTACATGTATATTTATTACAAAATAGTATTACATAAACATTTCTTTCCCAATATACATCATTATTATATTATCTTCGGAATAAAGCGATGATAATAATAAAATATACATAAATATAAATATAAATATATATTTATATATAAATATATATATAAATATTTCCCGCTAATGTATTACTCGTATTATGGCAAACAATGCGTGAACGAAACGTTTCGTCATTCGAAAATAATATCTTAGTGGCTGTGATTTTTTATTTAAATATTAGTACCACTGTATTTGGTATATTTCATAGGGAATTACGTTGGTTGGTAGCAATACACTGTAAAATAATTTTTCTTTACTACTATAGTATTATTATTATAATTAGGGCAGAAGACTTTTAGCTATAAAAAATCAAGAAACATGCAAAACTTATACATTTAAAATCACTATAATATGCATTTAAACAATCTTTTAGCCAATTAATTTCAGAGTATTAATAAAATTAATAGCATTTAAAATAAGTTAAAATAATTACCTAATATAATATTTTATGCCATTGCCAAGTAAATAAAATACATTTTCTTAATTTTCTTAATTAAATATGCATTCGGCTCACTGGGGCGATGATGTGGTAACGATTATCTATCTTTTAATAAAATTAATTACAGCAAATTAATTAATTGTCTTATCGAAGATCCGCAAGCTCTTTTAGAAAAAATATGTGTCCCGAACCTAGGCGCAAATTGGGGGGGGGACTTAGCCCCCAAACTAAGCCATAGTCCCCCCGAAAATCTACAAATTTAAAATGATATAATATTTTAAATGTGTACAGTTTTTTTTTTTATATATTTAAATAATATTATATATTATGAGATGGCCATGTTAATTATAAAATAAAAATGATCACTGGTATTGTAAAATTAAATGTATAATATGTATAATATTAGTTTGATGAGCGATTTTCCAGTTTGGTAATAATAAACATTGAAAGAGAAGTATTAAATCAGCTTAAAGTTGAGGATATACTATTTAAGTATACTAAGACCAATAAAAGGTTACAATTATAATTTGTTGTTTATTTTGATTGATATAGGTATAATAAAATGAATTAATAAATATATTTCTATGTTGTTAAAATTATGTTATTATAAGTCATACCCCCCTACTTAAAATTTGTGGTCAGTCGGCCGTAACAATGAAGATAAAAAAATTTAATCAGATTATGAAGTAATATTATAAGGTAAGATATGAATGGTGATTGTTGGGGGGTGTGGGGGGAAAAGCTCCCCACGGGTTTGCTTGCCCTTAATATATTCAGCCCCCCAAGTCAAAAGTTGAAATTGCGCCTATGGCCCCGAACAGTCATAAACCATATTATACGAGAAAAATTTAAAATAAATACATTTTTATACAAACCTTTTTAGTCTATTGTTTGAAATAAAAACGATGGTTTGAAAAAAATTGATTGAAGTTAAATACGTCTCAAAAACGGTAATTTGTACCGAAATTATCTGGAACCGTTACCTTTGTTTTTTATAACAAAAAGCCGGAAACAAACCAGAACAGTTATTTTTTTTCCGAGAACAAGTGAAGTTAAATTAAAACCGTTTCAGTCCCTGGTACCAATACAATAGTACGCACATAATTGTTTGTAATAGAAATAATTTGAATAAAATATTCTTATAAATTAGTTCTAGCCGTTTTCTAAACTATTGCTAAAGTTTAGTTTGTTCTTACTAGAGCTGGGATTTTAATGTCCTTAAAAATCACGAAAAATGATCTTAAAATAATGCAAAAATGCCTATAAAATTTAAAAAAATTACACTATTTGTACATAAATATTTTATTTTACTTCATATATTAATAAATAAAAAATTATTCTTTTTTGTTACAATAAATCACGAGAGCGTGCCTCATGTTGTTCCCCAATAAGTTATTGTAGATAAACATATTTTTTTCTTATTCTTCAATTTGTTCTCTTCGTTGTACTCCATTAATATGTTTGTCTCTTGATATATGTTATTGTAAGGTAAAACGTTTTTCAACAACTTTAACATTGTATACCTTACAAAACAACACTAACCCGTCGATAGAACGGGTTTTTTAAATTAAAAAACACCAAAAATGACTTAAAAACCCTTAAAATGCCCTTAAAAATAAGAAAAATAATCTTAAAATCAAAAAATGTCATAAAATTCAAAAAAAATGCAAAATAAAATTTCTTATTCTAATTTAAAAATACCTAAAACATATTTGTAACAAAACGAGCATCGTACAGAAAGCTTCAGAAAAAAATGCAAAGTGCATCAAAATCCCAGACCTAGTTGTTACTATCATGTGGAATTCAAATAAAACTGTAATACGCGTCATGGTGGTATTTTATTTTTACTTGGCTACCGAGGTGGCTGCGTTTCATGATTAGTATAAATTATGACATTAATACAAGTTAATTATGTAAGATTTCCAACGATTTTAAAGAAAATCGTATATTCTCTATGTGGCCTACGCAAGTGCAAAGGTGAGTAAGTTAATGAAAATAATTAACTCGAGTTAAGTTAAGATAACAGATGATCGATAAGTTAAAAGTTAACAATTGATAATTCATAAATTTAACCCCGTAAGTCAAAAGTTAACGAGGAAAAAAATATTAACTAAATTTAAAAAAAGTTAATCTAATTTATTTAATTGGTATGTAGGTCACACAAAAAGTAACTGCATTCTTTAGAAAGATATAATTTCTTAAATTATAATAAACAATGGTATGAAATTTTTTATCATAATATACAGCAGTGGCGCCGAAGTGTTTGAAAAATACTATGACATTGTACATCAAGGGACCACTCACTACCCTATTTCAGGGGCATCATTTCAACTTTTTGAAAGGTATGCTAAAAACAAGGCAGGCTCATGTATTATATACTAGTTATTACAACAAAAATGTTCTCACTACGCTCAACAATTTCATTCTTCGACAATATAATGATTTAATATAATATCAATATTGTATATACCTACCTAATAATCCCAAGTCAATACTCAATACCTACATTATTTTATTTTAAATTTTATTATTTATTTATTTATTTTTTTTTTTTTTGTAGACACTATGAAAATAAAACAAATCCTGAAATTTTTAATCACACATAAGTTATTTAATATAAACCAAACATTTATTTTTAAATCATTTCATTTAAATAATAACATATTAATACATATTAACAAAAATAATTTTATGTTTACTATTGGTACAGTGGGTACCTTCTGACTTCTATTTTTGCAAAATCATCAACTGCATCGTTCAAATTGATTTGATTTGTTTATTCGATTTCAACTCCAAGAACCATTAAATCTTTTAATTTTTCATCACCAATTGATGTTCTTAAGAAATTTTTTATCCTTTTCTGTGAAGAAAAAAAACATTCATTAGATGCTGTTGTCACTGGTAATGTTAGCATTATGGACAATATTTTTGTTGTTTCAGGAAATGCATACGGTAGATTTAAAACAATATTTAATATTAATTCTAATTTAAATTGGGAATTGTTTTCTAGTTCTAATGTTGCCTTTATTGAAGAAAATTCTGATGACAAGTTTAAAGTATTAATTTGAAAACTTTTGTAGTGGTCTAAGAACTTATTAATAGTACCACATTCTGCATGAAGAAAGTCAGCATTTGTATAGTCAAATACATTAAATATGTCAAAAACTTGTTCATTTTTTGAAAAACGTTCATCTAACTGCGTTACAATCCTAAAAAAGAACATACTTTTGTGAATTAATTAATTTGATGAAGTTATTAATTAGATATGTAATAAATACCTATCAACCACTTGATACAAAAGCTCAACTTTCATACTTGAAACATCTTTTTCTTTATTTTTATTTCTTCCTAAAGTGGTTTGTATAAAATAATCATAAAATAATCATTCATTGAAAGTCTGTTTTCTTTTCTCGTGCTTATTATGGGTTTGAATTTTTATGCCATTACAAATTGCTATATCAATTGCTTTTTGATGAAATTTTAACCACGATTCTTCACAGCGCAATTTTAAGATATTATTTCTTGAAGATTTCACTAATAACATGGCCTTTGATAGAATAATATTTGAATTTTAAAGTTCACATGACAAACAATGTATACATTCAAGGACAATAACCATTACCTCCAAAATTATAATAAATTTAAAAGTTGATAATTTTTTGAGTAATCTTACTGCTCTAACTGTTAGATCGCCATGTTCAGTCAGAAAAGTAATTACTTCAATTATCACAGTATAACGGCTTCTCGCTTTTTGCAATAAAGTATACCAATAATACCAACGAGTATCGACAAGTCTTTCTAAATGAATTATCTTAACAGTTTTATTTTTTGAGCTTCTACGAAAAGTTCATAACGAGTTTGACTATTCATCAGATATTTATAGAGATTTTGAATAGTATCAAAAAAATCATCTATTAAGGGCACATTTTGTATACAGTCAACCAAAGATTTAATCGGTGGGCATAACAATGAATGTATACTGCATGAGGCACAATTTCATTGATTTTTTTGTTGCACACCCGAATAAACACCACTCATAACAGAAGCACCGTCATAGCATTGAGCAACGCATTTATTGATGTCCAAATTATTTTCTTGAAAAAATTTTACTATTTCTTGAGCTAGAGAAGTAGCATCAGATTTTTTCATGTGACTGCAACCTAGTGCTTTTTAAAATATATTGAATTTTATGTCTACAAATCGTATAACAAAACTTAATTGCTCTTTTTTAGATGAATCTTTAGTTTCATCTACTAAAATTGAATATACACCAAATTAAGACATTTTGCTTAGAATGTTTTTTCTAGTGCAGCAACCAAGAACACGAATAAGATCATTTTGATATTATGGTGAGGTATAATGTCCATATCTCGATCTTAGTCTTATTTTCATAGAATCATCTGAAAATGTTTTTAATAACTCTATAAAATTACATTTATTTTTGGACATACTGAACTCATTTTTTCCTTGAAATGCCAGCCCTTATTTAGCCAAATATAAAATTGCCTTTAATAAAAAGTATATATGCTTCCTGTTATTGTCTATTTCAAGAGCTCTTTATGATTTTAAAAGATTAGCAACCGAATTTTGATTGGATTGTATGGCTAAATATTGATTCCATTTTTCTACTGATGATAAATGATTTTCACTCCGACTATGTTTAGTCAAATATTGTAATGGATTTCTCTAACACTTGACTCCTGTATCAATATAGACAACATTACCAATTTTTTGTCCCCGAAAATTACCACTTGAAGAAAAATTTCAAAATTTTTTAACTTGATAGATCATTTTTAAATCAACTGTGAAAAGCTAAGTTATTTCAATTGCTAATTAAACAAGTAAAGTTCAAAAGTTTATTAGAAAATAAATTAACTATGCACACATTTGTGCAAGTGTTATATTCAATGCGATGATAGTAACGTGAAGTTGAGAAAGAAAAAATAACTTAGCTACCACAAACAAGTATATTAATAGGAGCCAGGGTTGTTATATTGAAAACCAGTGATAGTTTAAGTTTATATCTTTGTCAAACTTAACTGGTCTAACAAGTGACCACGACGAGGGGCGTCATTTTTTTTTGGGGGGGGAAGTGCATGGAGGGCTTTTTCCCTAGTCTGATAAAAAAGAATCCTAAAGGGCCGGTCGTTGTCGATTAACCATAAGCCGTTACTTGTGAAAAATCAAGCGAATTTTATAATTTTGAAAATACTGCATACTAGATAATTATTTATTGCCACAATATTTGGTAATTGCCAATTGGTATAAACTATAAATAGACACATGAGAATTTTACAAAAGTATTAGATTTTTGAATGAACTTAACCATAATTTCAGCAAATTAGCAATGAAATCATTTTTACTTGTAATATTTTCTTATCATCCAGTCCTGATTATTTCAACAATAAAGAAGGACTGAAATAATTTCAGTATTCATAATTAATTATTAATTTCAGTCCTTATTTATTGTCTTTCCTTAATCATTATAGTAATTTTAAAATTGATAATTTAATACTTCAAACTGAATTCTTATCTGCAAAAAACTTAAATTATTCTAATAAGGAATGAGACGATGGAATTTATGATCCTTTTTCTATTTCTAAGATTTTGAATAAACTTCCTAAAGCTTTTATTGAAATTCTTAAAATTGTTATGGGCTACCACATATTCCTAGAAACATGTATAAATAGAATTGTGCGTAACACAATATCACAGGTGTTGCACACCTATATTTGATTAGTTGGCCATAAACCAGTAATATATATTAAAAGATTAATATATATTCCTAGAAACACCTACATTTAATTAGTTGGCCATAAACCAGTAATATATATTAAAAGATGTAATCTATAGAATAATGAAGTAGGTCAAACCAACAATGGCCTGTTGCTAAATAAGGAATAATGCCGAAACAACAAGTCCTATGACGTCAATCGAGCCATATAAAAGAGGGATCAAAATGACCATAATTCAGATGAGTTCTAGTCACAGAACAACAAGCAACTTCACGTCACTCTGTATCAGAATTTTTGTTAACACTTCAAGTTATAAAATAAATGTATTAAACGTATAAGTCTCATGTTTATTAAAATTAAATACATCTTCGACTGCAATACTTGAAATCGAGCCGGTGACACGTAACAAAATAATAAATATTCTTTTAACTTTGCATGTAACAACTGCTTCCATTCCAATGAACGTTTTTTTTCGCCTCTAATTAAATAAAATCTACGCTTGACAATGGGAAATGATCGGCTGAGTAATTGGTTATAGCTGTCGAAAGTGATATTGCTGCAAAAATAAGTTTAGATGATGCAGTAGATGTATTTTAAAAAATGAAAAATAGAAGATATCCACTGACAGCTTAGATTAATTTAGATTAAGTTAACCTTACTTAGGTAATGTTTATGAAATACAAAATTATATTTTGCAAAAATATAAGTTGTATAATAATAGGCAAGGCTGGACAAGTTAACGATTATTTTTAACACGTTAAAATAAGTTATTTTAAAATAATAAAGGTAAGTTAAATTAAAAGTTATTAATATAAGTTACTTATATTTTTTCTGTTAACTCGTTAAGTTTAAAGTTAAATTTTAAAAAAAAAGTAACTTATCTTAGCTTAAGGTTAAAATTTTCTAATTTGCAAAAATAAAAAATTGCACACATAATACTAGTTTTTTACGCTCACGAAAATTACTAGGGAAATTTAAAATAATACATAAAAGTATTAACTAACTAATTAATAACTATTAATAACTAATTAATTAATAAAGAAATAATAATCTTTCACAGAAATATAATAAACTAATAACAATATATTATAGATTTCCATGGGTTTATAGTGTTTATACAATAAAAATGTTATAAAAATATAATGATAAAATATAGCCCATATAATGACTATTAAAGTTATTTTTCATATTATTTTCGTCTACAGGAAATTCATATTAAAATAGTAAATTATAAATATACTAAAAACCTCATTTAATAATTTGCATTATTCTTTGCACTAAAATTAAATTTAAATTAAAAAATTAAAATTAAATTTAAAGTTAACACGTTAATCTTAAAAAAAAGTAACCTATTAAGTTAAAAGTTAATTTGTAAAAAAAAGTAATGAGTTAATTAACTTAATTTTAACTTTTAAATCGTTAATGCCTAGCCCTGATAATAGGTATAATAAATAAAATATGTAGGTGGTTAAGACTAAACAGAATGAATAATCAAATATGACATCTTTATTAAATGTTTACCGACAAATTTAACCGGTCTAGACGTGTACAGTCGTTGCCAGATAAATTGAGATGGCGGTGGCTTTTCTTAAAGTGTAGCCCAAACTAATCGCTGACAGTATGGTACATAGGTCACACAGTGGGCTATGACGCGCGAAGTCACCTAATCAACCATCACCTAACACCTAACCCCTAACCTAACCCGGTGTGTTTCGACCGCGTGGCACACTTCAGTCGCATCAACAATTTGTTTATTATAAATGTATAAAAATAAATGACTCAGCTGACCAATAACAATATTAATTATTAACAAAAATTAAAAATCGTAATCGTAAAGCTCACAGTCAAGCTAGGAAAATAATTTGGAATTCTTCTTCTTCTTCTTCTTCTTCTTCTCTTGGCTTTACAATTCTTTAAGAATTTTGGCCGCCACCGTCACCGTTCTCCAATAATCACGATCCTGAACTCCATCTTCCCAATTTGTCACTTCCAATGTTTCCAAATCCTTCCTTATTCCATCCATCCATCGCTTTCTAGGGCCAACAACCCTGCATTGTAAAAACATACTGTTAAGAAACCACCAACACTGCCTCGGATAACAAATTTGGAATTAATATCGTAAAATAATTTTTGTAACAATTTTTGGTTTATTGATGTTTTTTCGGTAAAAATATTGAAATATGGAGAACCACTAATTTTCTGTTATCGCGCCGCCGCCGCCGTCTCAATTTATCTGGCAACGACTGTAAGTACATTATCATCAACTGTTTACAAACATTATCGAATTTTCCTGGCGTCGGATGGAAAACAAAAATTTTTCGGTAATAACATCATCAGTGGCGTACATTCAATCTTGCTCTGGGGCAAAAATAATACTATAATATAATAAATAATATAATAAAAATAATAATAAAACAAAAATAATCGTTATCTTTTTTTTTTTCGTTGCACGGATAAATAAGATAAATAACTGCTATAAATAGATATTATTTTATACAACTTTTTTACCAATTTATAGTTTACTTTTACATTACAGTAAATTAATAGCTATTGGAATATAAAAACAGCAGAGTTAACAAAACTTTTTAAACACCTATGAATATAATTATTTAATTATCATAATATTTGTATAGTAGTATATTTTAAATTTAAAGCGTAATAATGAAACTACAAATATATTACACGTCATCAATAATAAAACAATTTTCTTTTCTTTTTTTTTTAACCCGGGGGGGGGTTGAACACAGACCCCCCTCCCTCCCCGTATATACGTCATTGAACATCACTAACACAATTGTTAGTGGCAAATTTCAGACACATTTCTGATTTTTATTATCAACATTATCGACAACACATGCTTGTGACAAATACTCCTTGGTCTAGAGCATAGGCGCAACTAGGGGGTGCTTGGGGGTGCTTCAGCACCCCCAGACTTTAATTTAGCACCCCCAGTTCAAAAACACCATAAATTGTAAAATCGCGTGAAAAACATAATTTTGTTCATTTTACGCAAGTTATTTTTATTTGTCGTTTTTAGCAGAAACACAAATTGTTTGTGATGATTATAGTTATACGTTATATCAAATATTATGTGATATAATATATTAATATCGACAATATCGTAGCAGTCATAGATAATAAATTAGCAGCACGATTAAATATGTATATCTAAAATCGTGGTTAGCAGTAATCAATTGATATAATTTAAAAATATGAGGGTTAGATAACAGATAAGTGATAAATGGATAAAACCAGTAGTTTATTTATAGAATACTGTCACTGTAGTTTATTCGATAAATCGCCAAATGTCATTGTTCGGCTGTTCCACGAATTAGCTATTTGTTTATCAAAAATCATATTATAATGTATACTCAATACTGTATACCGTATACGTTCTACTCGTTGACCATTGTCATTTTCTAAACCCATTACTGTACGGTTGACGGTTGTAATAAAATATATTTTGTTTTCTCATGTGAAGTGTTTTAACTGTAACCTATAATATAAATTTCAAAATGTATAGTATTTTTAATAGATTTAATAAAAAAACAAAAAAAATAATCACTCTATAGAAGATGAAAATATTGAAAATATTGACGACCCTGGAACCACTCGTCAAAGTTCATCATGTGAATTAAAAGGAAATATTACAGTGGCACTTCCAGGTACCTATATAATATTAAAATAATTGAACTGCTCATCGAAATAGTAGCCTATTCCATCAATACATTAGAGGGAGTAAATTAGCTTAAAAGGTTTTATATTTAAACTTAATTTTTTTTTTTTTTTTTTGGTTTTTGTACGTAGTATTGTATTGTAGTTCAATCCTTATGCGTTTTTTGGAATTAAAAGACTTAATTCTTCGTAGTTTATGTTAAATTGATAACTTTTACTTTTATACTTTTTGCACTTTTTTTATTCAAAACAATTTATTTCAAAGTAAGCCAGTTTTGCATTTGTCATAATATTTATTTTTACTAAACAATGTATTGTTATTTAATTTTTATGGAGTAGGGCACTATACTTTACTTGTTAAAATTTTATAATAAACAAGTTTTTTTCAAATGGTTTTATATTAAAGAATGTGAAGAATCGCCACAGTCAAATTCAAACATTGCAACGTATTCTGGTTTAAGTTTAGCTGACTTAGGTACATTGGATACTGGACCATGTCGCCCTGTTCTCTTTGTAAGTTTCTTTTTGATTTTTAGAAAATATATTAACACTATGGAAGATTTTGCTAAAATAGAATGTATTATGGTATATATAAAACCATTATACATTACTACATTAGCTATTTTATTATTAAATTAATATTTATCAAATAAAATATTTTATATTGAGGAATATTTTAAATTAAGTAATTTAAATATAAAAATGTTTAAAATATATTTTCAATTGTTAACTTTACCATTATAAAAATATATAAACATTCTTATCATGGACTTCATAAGTTTATTTGAATCCATATAGGCTTACATAAAAACAAAATTTGGAAAGCAGTATAGGTCATTCCAAAGTGAATGGTATACAAATTATGAATGGTTAGAGTACAGCATAAAATGTAATGCTGCGTTTTGTTTTGTTTGCCGAATGTTCGGCTAAGGGCAAGTATGGAGCAACAGCGTTTCACAGATTTATCAATATTGAATATTGAAAGAGATATTGTTAATAAAATTACTTCATCAGAAATACTAGAAAAATATTCAACTACTAAAAGAAAAATAATATTAGTATGAAATGTAAGAATTTTGAATTATATATTTAGTTATAAAATGTACCTTATAAAAGTAACTGCTAAAAATTTTAAATTATATTATTAATACATAATAATTTTAACAAATTATAAAATAGATTTTTTTTATTTGTATCGCCTAAATAATATAATATATGTAATATCAGGTATATTACTGTTAGTATACTTAAATATTGTGTGCCATGTTTTTATGGTTCATTTAAGAATGGTTATAGTAATTATAAGATTTAAATATGGTATTTGGGGGTGTGGGGGTATAGTCCCCACGGGTCTGTGTCCTCTACATAATTTTAGCACCCCCAGTGTTTGGCTTCTAGTTGCGCCTATGGTCTAGAGGTGACTTTATTTATCAAAATTTGATATTATTTAATAATATTGTTCATGTAACGCAAATATTATTTTTTATACACTGGTTGCGAAACCACTAAGGCGATAAACCATTTGCATTTTTGTAATTGGCTCTCAAAAACAACTTAAACACTTAAACCTATTACCGGTAATTAATACTTACTATACAATGACATATCGTAGTTATTCGTTCTGTACGTCGAAAAACATCGTGCGTAAACGTATTGACTCTGGTATGTTATTAGTTTCTATTTTTCGTTTACCATTATTACGCTTTTATTTTATTATAATAATGGCTTCAACGATGTTTTTTTTCATTATAACCACAGTTATGGAAACAAGATGTAGCTTACAAAAATAAACTCTGCTACTTTTTATGTTCTATATAATTTATAAGTACAAGTAATAATTAAAAAAAAAAACCCATAATATCCGACCAAAACCACTTCGTTGTAAATTCGTGTATGAAAAGCTCTCTTAAAAATATGTAAACACAGTATATTTAATAATGACTAAAGCTTTAAAATATGTTGAAACTATGTAAAATGATGTTTCAAATTTTACAAATAACTAACACGACATATAAGATTGTTTGTAATATTATTTATATTGTTTACATGACAGGAAATGTAAACAAATATATAATTAATAATTAATTTCCTGCAATTTGTATGATTACTTCCTGTCAAGTAAAAAATATGTTAATTAAGTGATGAACTTTACAAATAATCTTATTCGTCATCAGTGGCGTACGCAAGGGGAGTGTTAGGGAGAAATAATATACACCCTCATGAATAGTTCAATGTATCTTTTCGAATTATGAAACAATGACTAAAAAAAAAAAATTTCCCAATAAAATATCCATCATTATTAATAAACATTAACATAACATATTAAATGACAAAAACATAGATCTAATTATTCTGTAGGTGATCCGAAACATTTTTTTTTTTTAATTATTATATTCCTTCCATTCGTTGACAACTTAGTTCAACAGATAAAAAAAAAATGAGTTATATAAAATATTTTCAATAATATAAATATTGTACACAATTGTGTGCATTTTATATTATTTTAAAATTGATATTGATTGCAAAATTCATATACATACAGTTGTATAAAATATTGTGTGCTCGATAGAGAAAGTCCATAATAATCTATCGTAATTACCGACTTAAGTTTGTAAGTAGTTAAGATACCAGCTTCTAGTACTTTGTCGGTATATCTTATTTTCAAGCCTGGAAGTTAATAAGTTAAAAGTTAAGTTAAATTAACTTATTACCTTAACTTATTTCATTACTAATAAATTAACTTAACTTAACTCATTTCCTTACAGATTAACTTGAAACTAACATTATTTTTTCGTTTATCCCAATTAAGTAAATTTTGATTTTCTAAACCAAAAAAATATTTTTGTAAAATATCGCATTCGATAATAAGTTCATGGTATTTAAAAAAATATAAAAATAAAAATTTCGAAGACTTTTTAGATGAGACCATAATATTTATCTCGGAATTATCTATTGATATAGGTCCCACCATTCTCGGGAAAAGTATTCAACCGTCTACAGACTATTGAATAAAAGAAGTCAAGCCACCCATGAATTACATTACCATTGTCATGAAAAGTGGCCGTAAATCTATATAATAAAAATAGGTACATATTATCATTTAATATGACTAAAAAAAAAGTTTAACAGACTAAATAATTCTTAATAATAATTGTACTCTATTATTATTAAAATTATTCCATAATCTATGAAATTATTAAATAAGATTGATATTATTAAATATTATTGAATAAGAAAAGAAATGAAAGAATTTTTGTATGACTTAAACCGTTTGATTATCTATATGGATAATTTTATATTGACATCATCCATATGCAAATGGATAATGTTAAATATTGGTGGATAAAGTCCGAAATTTAGATATTAGCCAAACGCAGTAGCTAAACTTGTGATTAACCGTCTAAACTTAAGTTTAGCCATACTCCTAACACTAGCCGTCACATATATATTAGATTTAACATCCTAAATATGGCTCTCATATTGAAAATATATAAAAATGGTACTATTGTTACATTGTTATTTCATTCTTGCGAGAAAGGAATGGTGGAAAAATTGGTCATAAAAAATATATACTTATTCAACTGGTTAATTTACTTCGGAGTAATAAAACAAGAGATTTTCAAATTGATTGGCCGACGAATGAAACTTTTTTCAATAATTACTAGGAATCAGTGGTGTGTATTTACGGGGGGTGATCTGGGTGATATATCACCCCCCCCCCCCAGAACCTTTTTTTTTATTCATTTCACTTTTCTTATTTTTCTTTTAAATTCTTGAACCGTAAGTCCGTAATGGACGTAATAATTTTTAGTATTCCATCAGTCCGTTATCAATAGAAGTTAATAATAGACATAGACATAGTTGTACATAGACAGTAAACACTATAGTTATTGTTAGTTTCAAGAAAATCGTGAACATTAGATAATTATTATTATTATTATAGTTTAATATCCTAATGTTCATGGTTAGTTTATATATCTATTAATCAATTATATCTGTGATTATTTAATTTATACTATATTAGCGATAGTGCATAAACAATGTGTTCAGTGTTCACATTTGCTCTCAGTCCTTTCGTGTAATCGTGTCTCGTTTAAAATTAACCGATCAGTAAACAAATTTTTGACATTATTTTGTGATCTAACTTATATTTATTATGAAAATAAATGTATAATATTATTAATGTTGGTATAGTTTTAAATAAAATCATGTTATATAAAAGAGCACTTTACGGAAACTGGAAAATTATGATAACAAGATCCTCCTAGAAGATATTTGTCCCCTTGGCTCTAAATGTACAAAATAGTTATGGTTATATCACCTCCTAGAAAAAATTTTAGATACGCCACTGCTAGGAATTATACATCATAAGATATTATGTTGTAAAATAATAAATATAAAATGATAAATTATTATGAAATACATCAAAGTTGTGCTTACATACGTTACGTCGTTTGGCAAATCCTGTTGTACTATAAGTTGTATGAATATTCTAATTCGTCGTACAACTTCGCTAGTATCAAACTAAAATATTACAACTGATCATACTAAAAGACGTATAACTGACCGTACAAGATATATAACCCTGGGCAGTGGCGTATTCACTTGTTTCTCACTGTAGGCTTGTGAAAAATTGTCGTCCTTAAATAACTAAAATATTAGACTAAGTTATCATTTATTTATTATAAAATATACAGTAAAAATTTTTATTTATATTATAATACATAATTTCTTAAGAGTTCAACATTTTTTATGAATAATTAACAACTACATAAAATAAATTCTTTAAACTTGAATATAATAATTATTAATTATATTAGTCTACGTCAACATCTGGTAGTAGCAAAAGTGCCAATTTAATCTTTAAAATTAAATTATTTTAACATGTCTCTATTGATAACAATGCCAAATTATTTAATTTTTATAAAGCCTACTAAATACAACGATGGCTGTCTGCTACAGGTATAAGTAATATATATATTAAGTGTAATTTACCCGTAAAGTTCATTCTAAGAAGTTTAGTCGTTTGAAACCCACAACGTTTCAAAGACTTTTACTTCGCCGATGTCAACATCTTATAAGCACCGTGCGCGTGTTATGTACATCGATCAATTGTTGCAGAGCTGGCATGTTTTCAATCGCCTTCGAATACGACGAAAAAAATACGAATCAGCACACGTCGCTATATTGTACGAGTATATTATTTTAATACGTATAATACATTATACACGAATGATTACCGTTTAATTCACGAGTGTAACACTAAATATTAGTTTTCTGTTAACGTTTTTAATTCTGCCAACTAATCCGGACGGATATTTGTGTTATCATTACACAGTGTCCTAAGGTTTATGTCCGTTGCGTGGGTTCATATTATAAATTCTTGGTTATACTGTTTCAAATGATTGTTAAAAGTATGATCCTTTTTAAGGCTCAGGTGAGGCTTACATTTCCGATTTACTGTCTTCTGATTTCATAGTGTTTTATATCGATCTTCTTTATCGTACGCATAAATCACACCCAATACGATGTGTACAAACAATAATCGGTACACCCAGTCACGTTATACTAATTGGACGCTTAAGATATTGAAAACAGTTCGTTAACTTCAAGGACATTCACCTCAGATCGTGCATATCTAATGCCAAAAATACTAGAATTGTTTTAATGTTACTAGCATTTAATACTACTATTACTACTGCCGCTACTACTATTGCTCCCACGCTTATCTGTGAAATCAAATTTCTTTTAACGGCTGTGCATATATGTTCAATTCGCACTGCCTCGAGAGCCTAGTTTACCGAACGAGGATGCAGTGTCTGAAAAATATTCCGTAACGTAAAAAACCGAATTAAAATCAAACGAACGTGATCCAAAAGTTGTTTCACTGGTGAAAATATCGGAATTAGTGTGTTGTTAAGGCCGTTAAGTACAGACAAATATCGATTGTGTAATACCAATTATCTAGCTTATGCGAATAAAAATACGCGAAAAACATTGTAATACAATCAGTTTTTTATAATACGTAGCCGGCCGTCGGT